CCACGAATACTGAGACACAAGATGGAGCCACCGACAAGGCTGACAGCTCGCTTACTCTTTTTGCTGATGTTAACGCTAACAGTAGGGCTGTTTTCTGTGATAGAAACTTCAGCGAAACCTGGTCCAGAGGCTCAAAAGGAGCTTTGGACAGAGCGCGTAATACAAGCGTTAAATCCCACTATGTTAAGTGCGTGCTTGTGACAGGTCTGTGTCTGCGCACGCCTTTCAGGCTTTGACTAAAACAACTACAACTCTCATTTCCCAACCCTCCAGCATAAAAGGCAGCGGACAACATGTATTGGAAGGATGTTTATTGTTTTGTAGAGCGGACTAATAACATCAACTGAAATCTTGTATGTGTTTTGGATTGATAGTTTTAATAACTGTTATGGTTTATCAAGGCATTAAAAAATCATCAGCTTGATTTTACAGAACACATTGCATGTTTGTTGTCACATTAAACAAAGGTGATGTTTAACCTTTCATTAGATTTGCTCAGTACAGTCCCTGCAGAAATGCATCTTCCAGCCCTACTGGTAGCTCCAATATAAAAATGTCAGGGCTCAAGTGAAATTAATTTAAAGTGTTCAGCCATCATGGTGGGATCCACACAAACGGCCCACTGAGACTCCCCTCTGAGCTAGCCTCCAATTACTGTGCAGGTGCAACTCAATGGGTCTTTAAGAAAAGGTCAATCGCCTTGTCATCTGTGTCACTGTGTGTGTGTGCGTGCGTGCGTGCGTGCGTGTGAAACAGCGAGAGAGAGAGGGTTTTCCTCTGATCAGGCATCCATCGTTAAAATTTTCTTTCCTGAAGCTGGGATTACTTTCTGAGAGTTTAGATAATGTCTGCTAAGTGATCCATATATTTTGCTAACAGACAAACACACATCTAGGCTATTACATGATCACCAACCTTTCAATAAAGTGGACAAAAATAAAGTTAGAGTAGATTGAAATCCAATTCAAAGACCCAGGCCTGTGGATTCAAAGGTAGCTGGCAGCCGGTGAAATTCACTGTGTAAAATCTCCATTTCGCTGCATTTCTGCTACTTTAGCTGCGGCCCAGTTGTACTGGGAAGCAGGAGTTCTCCCACTTATGAGTCATAAATTTAAACTGGAATGCTTCTCCAGTGGGAATTCCCAGTCAGAAAGGGGGAGAGTTCAGAACTCAAGACTCACCATAACTCAACAGTGAGTAAAACKCTCACATTTAGTCAGTCGTACACAAAGTACTTTTCAGTGTTTATAAGAAAAATGAAAATAAAATGGTGTTTCTATGCAGGAAATATCATGTAGAGCTTAGTTAGTGTTTGTTAACGATGCTTAGTCGTAGCAGTGAGACGAGGAACGTGACTTTTCGTGTGTAGTCAAACTTAAACATGAAATATTGAGTTTAATTACAATTGGCTCTTTGAGGGCCACCATAGTGCTCATGTGGCCCTTAGTGATAGCCCCTAATGCAGGGGTGTCAAACTAATTTTCACTATTTTCTTGTTTATTACTGGCTGCTGCCAAAAGAAAAAGGTGAAGAATGTTTTTCTGCTTTATCTCATCAACGTTGGGATGAAATATACCAAATTTTGCAAAACATAATGAGTCAAGTTATATCCACAAGTGATTTACTCATGAAGCCAACTCAACACAAACAAACATACATACAAACATAAGTCTATAAGGAGTTTTACCGATGTTGAGCAAAAGATGTGGCAGTAGCTAAAAGTCATCTCAAACACATACTGTGAGCCTGACGTGATGACTCAGAGATGGAGCAGACTGTTATTATCACTATCTCAGCACTAAGCGTAAGTTTAACAAATGCCTAAAACATGAGCTCATTCTTCAGAGTGGTCTTTAAAGACCCTGTGTGGAAATATCAGATGTAGTGTTTGGAAGGCGAAAGCATGGTGTGATATAAGCAACGTGTTCTGTGGAACAGTGATTGCATGGTCTGTGAGTATCATGTGTTTTGTGATGCTCCAGTGATTAAACTGCCTGAGCTCTGACTGCTGGGGAAGCATTTCTATCTGAAAAAAGTGATGTTTCACTCAGCACACAGAGGGAAACGATGTTATTCAGGACTGAATAGAGCAAATTCCATGAGAATATAAACAAATTACAACCAGCGGATCATCATAATTGCATTTCTGTTATTTCCCTGGAGTCCTTCAGTTACTATGGTTTCTCCCAAAATAACTTGAGCTTGATGAGGCTGCCATGATGGCCTCTCCCAGTCCCTGTTTGGGTCTGGAACCATCTGAAGATGTACATGTCATTTGATCCATTGTTTTAACAAGCTTCGATCTTTGAAAAATGTCTTGATGCATGAATGATTTAGCATCATCTTTTGCAGCAAATTGAAATAGAGCTTTAAAGGGGACCTATTATGCAAAGTTCACTTTTTTACTTGATTTTATGAATCAGTTTGGATCTGTRCTGCTTCCAGAAACCGTCCAAGCACCAAAACATACTCCCAGCTGCTTTTTGAAAAAATATAATTGGGTTTTTTAGTGTCAGCAAACAAGCTGTTTCAAAAACCTGCAGATTGTTACATCACAAACCRGRTAACCTAGCAATGCCAAGGCGAGCCCAACCCCTCATCTAGTAATTCAGACTCCCRCGCCACAGCATTTGTCTCACAGAAGCCTCCAGGCTGCTGGGCGCAGACCTTGACCACCTCTCAGTTCATCTTTGCCGGCTTCAGGAAGAGGCAAAGGACGTGAATTGGCCTCGCCGGCACCAAGGCGCCTGACTTCAGTCAGATGCTCCAGTCTGTCCCTAACAAGCCCCCAGACAGAYTGGAGCAAAGTTTACCATGAGATGTCTTGTAYGGCAAAACTGGAAAAAAGAGCCCTCGTGGAGGGTAGACAACTGCTCTGATGAAGACAAAGTAGTTGTGGGGATTGTCAAAATCTTTGTAAATGATGGTGGGGTGACCGAGAGGGGWGGGGTAGCTGCAGTTCACATAGGGATACAGAGAAGTGAAGTCTACGTAGTGAAYAGTTTCACCCGGCCCTGCTGTGTGCCTCAGACTGAGAGCACAGGTTYTGCCGCCAAACAGAGCTCGTCGAGGGGAGAGAGGTTCGGGTGCATCAAAGTTCTCAAGAAAGCTGATGACACCTGTGTGTGATTTTTTCATCTCTGTCCACTCATGCTCCCACAAAACCTCCAAACAAACACAGTACACAGACTGCAAGATCCTGCCTCTTTCAATGGTAGCTGCATAAATCTGCCCAAACTCAACTCGTCTCAAGCGATACTTGTCACCCGTGGTACAAACATCCGTAGAACTCAAAAACGACCTTGACACCATCAATTTCTGTGTACCCATCCACATAGGGTCTGATTTTCCGCTTGCCGGTGTTTAACGCATGCTCAATATGTATATTTCTACTCCATCTGACCCACTCAAGCCACTGGATGGACATGATGGAGAAACTCTTAAAGCTGCATCTGTAATCTACAGGTGAGGAGATAGCTAGAGCTTTGGGAGGAAGGAACTTGGTTACAAAAACCTTCATGCAGGCTGAAGCTATTGTGATGCATTTAAATGGATCAACACTTGTCTCCTTAAAGAACTGGTCTCTGAATTTAACACAACCACAAAACAGAATGTCAACATCATTTTTGCAAYAATGACGAGCTTCTTTCTTTAAGTCAAAGACCTCTTTGTATGCTTCTCTGTACCAGTCGRTAAATTCTTGCTGCTCTGGAGGACTCATGAGTGCTACGCCGTAACTGTCTGGTGGGGGAAAAGATCCGACATACTGCAGGTGCTGTTCTGAAGAGAATAGTTTAGGGAACTGACCTTTAGCGTGATCAGTGAAACCTAACGCTTTTGGCATGGCACTTAGCTTCATACCCAGAAAGGACAGACTGTCGATGAATTTTAAACTGTAGTCAGGATCTGTAAAACAGAGAATTTTGCTCCCCTGCTTGATAAGATGAGGTTTTATACCTAACTGCAGCATGGTATTAAGGATAAGGTAACTATTGTACCCGAGAGCATTATGAGCTATGAAGGTGTAACCCTTGTACACAGGTCTCCTGAAATGAAGAAGAAACTGTTTAACACAATCCAGACTGTAAGCAAACCATTCAACACKTTTTAATGTTTTTGTACAAACCACAAAAGGAACGTGCGTTCCACTCTGATCAAAAAAGGACTCAAAATTGTAAAAAATCCATTTCTCGTGAAGTTTATCGTCAGCAGTGCCAGGCTGAATGTAACACTGATGCTCATCGAGAGTTACAGTACATCTAACCCTGGAGGTACTTTTTCGTCGCAGATAGCACATTTTATGTCACAGACGTGCAAAGTTTTCTGCTTGGTTAGAGGAATGTGATAYAGCCTTTTACAGATCAGACACATTTTTATCATCTCACAATCTTTTCAGCTTGAGGTCTGTTGCAGGGTTCTTTGTGCCTATCAACGCTTGAAGTGTTACGATAGATCCTATTACAATCCTTACATTGTACAGGCTTGTACTCCTGACGAGTACAAGAGACGCTACAGCAGACACCGCAGTAACCTTGGCATTGGTGTGTGTTAGGATTATCGTGGCCACTGTAGCAGTATGAACAGATGTAGCTGGAACCGATAAAACCCTTAWGGTTCTTTATTCCATAATAATGATTTTGGAATAACAATAAAAACATGAGATTCGAGCGATCCTGGAAGTCGGTCTCAAATTTACACAAAGCATTGTCTGAATTTCTGAGAAACACCACAATCTTTCTGTTCAAAATGGCTTCAAATTTACAGATGTCACTGAATGGAACAGGTGTCTGATCATTAAGACCCGCCGCAAGCTGCCACTCCCTCCCCTGTTGTAAAGCTTGATTATCTGTAAAATTTGGATTAAAGACATGAGCGAGGCTGACGGCAAAACACAGCTGATCCCCGGTGTTTTCAACAATATACAAGTGCTGCTTTTTCTTGTTAATCAGTTCACATTCTAATGTTTTTACAGCCTTGCGTTTTGAGCCTCCTCTGGGATTTCTCACTATCTGAAGAATCAATTCTATATTGTTGCCAGAAGGTATCTCTCCAACTCATCTAAAAAAATCTTCAAATGCAGGCAGAATTACATCACCCTCRTTAGTAAAAGGAAAAGTTGCATGACAAGAATCAGTACCTCCCACTAACTCCACAACTACATCATTACGCCCAGCTAACGACTCAGCCGTCTCAGCTAGTTCAATGAGGATACACATGACGTCTGTATAGAAGGCAGTGAGGTCAGGTACAGCACCCGGGCATGGAGGCGGGATTCTGAAAGTTCGCCTTATTTCTAGGTTATTGAAACGCTCGCATTAGACTGCTGGAGGTGGTTCTCCCTGATTATGATCATGGTCGGCTACAACCTCCATATTACCACCATGCTGCTCTGCAGGATCAGGTGAGGGAAAAGGAGCATCCTCTACAAAACTTTCTGCAACAGGTGAGGAAGGGGGAGGAGCAGAATTTTGCAAAGCATTTCATTTTGTGGGGTGTTGGTTGGAGATGGTCTGTTTAAGTTTCTGAGTGCCTCTTCTAAGGAGAGAAGGAAGTCACCTCGCACATTTTCATTTAATACATTTTCCCTTTTATCTCGATGAGGTGGAGACTGATTTATACGAAGAATTACATCTTGTATTGATCTAATGTATTCTGATAAATGAACAGCAGTGGGGACCTCTCTCAATTCCTCTACAGCATTTCTTATTTAATTTAAACCATTTCTACCTTGTTGGTCATCCATATTTACAGAGTTCACTCGTCATTCACCTTAAGATCACGGGATAGAGTCTGTATCAGGGTCTGACTTGCTTGAAGAAGCTTCACGGATCTCACTTTATGGCAGTCAGCAGACAGTAGAACTCCTTCTGCGCTTTGAACGTGGCTGACACCTGGTGGGTATCTRGTCCAATAACAACAGGGCTTCTGAAATGATAGGAAAAAAAACTATTAGTTATAAATCCCGCTTTTAATAACAACAAAAAGAATAATCATGTAAATAAAGAGATAACAGCATACCTGAAATTAATCTGTTAATTGAGGATGCTCTCCTTCAAACTCTCTGGACCTTGAGCTTTCTTTTCACAAACTTGAAGGCTGTGAAACAGAAAAATTATCACTAATCATCCCACTTTTTTCAAGCATTATGGTCAGACATTCAAACAAGGTCCCCACATATGTAGGTATACAAACACACACACACACACACACACACACATACACACACACGGTCCCCACATATGTAGGTATACACACACGCTTGATTAAATAAGAAAATATTTATTTAAACAAAACAAAAGGCTGTCGAGGCAGAAAAGCATAAGGAATGCATGTGCACAGGGAAAAACCCAAACAGCAGGCAAAGCCATACAATGGACCAGTGAAGTAATGAGGAGCTAAGATCAGTATTTATGCAAACAGAGGAGGAGTGAAGAGGGACAACAGCTGAGGAGGCTTGATCACAGATGACAGACAGCTGAGTGGTTAACAGAGAAATGACATGCAGACTGAGGAGAGATGAGGGTAAGAAGGCAAAGAGGACACAAGGGGGAGACAACAGATCAGACACAGATTCCTACAGACAAACAACCAATCWCTCTCTCAGTCACACCTAGCGACAATTTAGTTATCAATTAACCTAACAGTCATATTTTTGGTCTGTGGGAGGAAGCCGGAGTACCTGGAGAAAACCCACACATGCATGGAAAGAACATGCAAACTCTACCCAGAAAGATTCCTGGGCCGGGATTTGATTTTGTGACTTTCTTGCTGAGAGACATCAACATTACTAATTGAAGCACCATGCTGCCATACATAAATAGTGTAAAATAAAATAAATATAACCATAAGTAGTATGGTTAGGTGAAAGAAGTACCATAAGTTGATCTAAGAAGAGATTATAGTAGGACCAGGGGAGAACTTTAGGTCTACCATTGGGGTAAAGGGGGTTATGCCTTCTACCTTTTTATTTATTAAATCATTTACTTTTGTAAAACGATTCAGGATATTTGGGGGTTAAAATATACATGTAATGCTTTTATTGTGACTTAAAGAGAAGTGAATTATTAAAGAGAGAGCTTTACTTCAATATGTTTTCTGTCTAAAACGATTTTGCACAACTCAAATTAAAACGTGTTTTGCCACAATGAACATTTTGTGTACATCAGTAGAAGATAGCCTATGTTTTTAGTTTTTCTTGGTTTCTTTTTCTCTCAAACAAAGCTCTCCTTGCTGTAAAGACAACAGATTCCTGATCAGTTGATGGTTACAGTTGGAGGAGAATTGGACCCAGAACGCAGATAGACTTGAGGAGTTAATGAAAAAACAACTTGTTTATTTAAACAAAAACAAAACTGTCGAGGAYGCCAGAACTTATGAAGACAGAGTTGTCAGGAACATTCAGGAGGTACACAAAGAAAGAACAGACTTGTGGCACTGAATGCAATAAAGCCCTGCTGGGAGAGTGAGACATGAACTGAATAACAGGACAAAGACAAACGGAGGCACCTGAGCTGACGGGAAACCACTGAAGGACAGACAACTAACTGAGGGCCAGCAAATGAACAGAGAAACTGAAAAGATGAAAACACAAATAAATCAAACTAAACAGAATAACAAAACACAAAAGTCTTAAAAAAAAGTATATTTTACAGATAAATCCAATTTAGATACATTTAGTTGTGAATTGATGTCTATGCAGAAAAGTAGAATTTAGTCTCTCCTGGGGTTCTGTTTGAGTTAGATCACAGAGAACATGTGTAATGGAACTAATACTTTTATGTTTAAGCAAGTAATTCATGACATCCTTTAATGACCTAGATTTTCATGACATGCTGTTCATGTGCAGACAGAATGATTAAAGTCAGAACAAGATTTGCTAACAACAGTCATTCTTAGATATCACTTGTGTTTATCTTTGTGTTTTCCATTGACCTTGTATCAAATCTTGCCAAGATGACATAATGGTGTTTGTTAATATATATATGAGGCCTCTCGAGAGGACACAGTGGACAGAGTGGAGTGACAGAGAGAAGCAGAGGCACAGAGACAGGCCAGGTTGTTCTGTGTTTCTGTTGTTGCAATAAAACTCAGCTGATCATCTCAYGGAGTACCTTCATTCTTGGACCAHGTATTTCTGTCTTTGTTAAATAAATATTGCCATAACACATTTAAGGCTGGATGGACAAATCTTCCCTTGTTGACATCTTTTAATTTATTTGTAAATAAAATGTTTCTGCGCAGCTATTCAAGGATTCAAAATGTTTTATTAATTTAATTTAAAAAAAAACCTATATACAATAGAAAGCAAAGAAAATACAAAAATCTAAATAAAATGAAAAGTAGCAGAAGAATCAATCTTATGTCTGCCCCTGTTATCCCCAGAATATATTCAAACAAAACATAAATTACAAAACAATACTAAATAAAAATAAAAACATCAACTCAAACAACAATTCATATGGCTTCACATTTTACTTTTCCATATCCCTTCGGAAAACTAGCTTTTATCTGTCTCTTAAATATATACATAGATCTGGCATTTTTAAGATCATCTTCCAGACGATTCCACAATCCTATACCCTGGATTAGAACATCTTTCTCTCAAGCACGTACAAAAATATGGCTTCACAAATATYCCCATCCTACAGCTATATAGTCATGGTAAATGGACTGTAYTTGTATAGCGCTTTTCTATCCATCCAGGACACTCAAAGCGCTTTACACTGTGCCCTCATTCACCCATTCACACAGCACTCTAYTAGKTCTSTACAAAGCTAACATATACAATCATCTATGGAGACTAATCAGTGCCACTCAMATTCATACACTGATGAGACACACATCAGAGGCATTAGGGGTGAAGTATCTTGCCCAAGGACACAACAACTGAGACAGCTGGATGGGGGATCGAACCAGCAACCTTCCAGTTCCTGGATGACTCCCCTAACCACTCTGCCAGAGCCACTCATAAACCCTTCTATCAAACTAGAATGAACCAGTCTGGAAACTGGAGGGGGGCGGGGTGTTAACGTTGGATTTAAAGAGACAGCCTCAAAACGAGTTGATCTGAGACACACCTCAGAAAAGAGGTGGGGCTTGTGGAGTTACAATAAGGAGGAATTCAGACCAAAGCATTGCGGTTCCACTTTATATAGACCCAACTGAAGGATTAAAAAGCATCATATGTTTGCATTTAACAAACCAACAATAACAGATGACAGTGATAAAGGCTTAGTTGGTTTGTTTATGTTGAAATATTTTTATGGTGGGGAAATATCTGAAGATTTATCCAATCAGCTGTTGGTTCAGAGGTCAGGTTTGTGCCATAGAGACTCAAATCTGTTCTTTTATGTCACTAAAACATATTTTTAAACCCTAACTTGTCAAAACAGAGCTTCTGTTTTCAGCTGTGAATTGTAATGAAAGTAATCAGTGAACAGTCATGTACAAGTGATTAACTGTCAGAGTCAGAGTTTGCTCAATTCAAGTTGGCCACAATGAACATGATGTAGCACTGAAATAGCTCTGATTCAGGTCAGGGTACTGTATGTGTGGCAGTAGCTTTGAGTCATTCCTAACATTTACTTTGAGTGGTAACAGATTAAAGAAGAAAACCTTCACCTGCTGAGGAATACATTAACCAATATGCAAATTAGCCTGCAGTATCATTGCTCTACCCATATGAGCAGCAAAAACACGTTTTTAGACCAAATATTACAGATTTGAACAAATATGCACAAAAATATCAAAATAAGCACAAAAACAGTACTATACAACATTTTAGACACATTCTAGACAGTTTATCAGCTAAAAAATTTAATTTTGGGGTAAGTTACTCTTTAAAGAATGGCACTTTCATTTAGAAGAGCTGTTTTTAAACACATCGAAAAGCATTTTATTTTAGAACATTTATAACCTTCCTGAACTGCCCTGATTAAAGGCTTCATGTTGGTTTATAGAAGCGTCATCTCTCTCCTCTTCATCGGCTTGTTTCCTGAGTGGCTGCTGTGTCTCTGTGGTTCTGCTCGACCCGTCTGCTGTTTCACGAGACAACACTGCTTCCTTCTGGAGCACAGCTTCATTACAATAAACACGTTTATTTTTATCAGAACTTATATACTTGAGCTAAAAAAACTTCTCATCCTTCCTCTTAATTTGTACAAAGTTGAGTGACAGAAACAAATTTTAGGTTTATTATCTTTAATCAAACAAAAGAACAGCTGGAGAAGCAGCACGTGGGTTTATGTGGGTCTTTCTCTCAGATATAAGGTCCTGTATAGGTCCAGGCTCATCAGTTCAACCCAGATGCCTGCGATGATCAAAGCAATCACCACCTGTGTGTTCAGACAACAAAAACAGCTGATTTCTGCAGATTAAACAACTTTTACTGCAGATTAGTTTGTTGCTTTCAGCACACGTCAGCAATGAATTTGCCTTTCACACTTACTGCCTGACATTTGTGTAAAAATATATATTTTCTTTAATGTTAGTTCACTGTGTGTGTCATGAATCTGTGTAATAAATGAGTTTCACTTTCTGAACTAATATTCTCATTTTTTGGAGCTGCTGCTGTAGTTTCAGATGCCCACTCACAAACTTGTTGACATAAAGTTGTGAAAACAGGAAAAGGAAATGATTTCCCTCCAAATAAAGAACCCATCAATCTCTGAAAAACTTCCAGTTGTTTGACCGTAACTCCTGATAATTCAGTTTAAAGATGTGTTTCTGTAAGATTCAGTTCCACAGTTAATGAGGTTATTATAAAAACAAACCGTACTGCATAAAGAAGAATTTTTCCAGTGGTCAGATGATCCTGATGGTCCTCAGCCTGTTCTGTCTGGGTCAAAGCGTTTTCATGGTCCAGATTGAGGACCCCTTTGGGTAAAACTCGGAGCCCCCAGTAAACCCTCTTTACTCTGCGGTAGTTGGCGTCCTGCACATCACACCGATACGTTCCTGAAAGAATGGATCAACTTGTTACAGAGGATCTTTGTGTTTCTTCTACAGTTAGTTAATGTGCTGTAACAAGTGAAGACAGACATACAGGTGCTGGTCATAAAATTAGAATATCATGAAAAAGTAGATTTATTTCAGTAATTCCATTTAAAAAGTGAAACTTGTATATTATATTCATACATTACATACAAACTCATATATTTCAAATGTTTATTTCGTTTAATTTTGATGATTACAAATGACWACAAATGAAAATCTCAAATTCAGCATATCAGAAAATTAGAATCTTGTGAAAAGGTTCAAAATGGATGGCACCTGGTACCACACTCTAATCAGCTAATTAACTCAAACCACCTGCAAAGGCCTTTAAATGGTCTTTCAGTCTAGTTCTATAGGCTACACAATCATGGGGAAGACTGCTGACTTGACAGTTGTCCAAAAGACGACCATCGACACCTTGCACAAGGAGGGCAAGACACAAAAGGTCATCGCTAAAGAGGCTGGCTGTTCACAGAGCTCTGTGTCCAAGCACATTAATAGAGAGGCGAAGGGAAGGAAAAGATGTGGTCGAAAAAAATGTACAAGCAAGAGAGATAACCGCACCCTGGAGAGGATTGTGAAACAAAACCCATTCAAAAATGTGGGGGAGATTCACAAAGAGTGGACTGCAGCTGGAGTGAGTGCTTCAAGAACCACCACACACAGACGTATGAAAGACATGGGTTTCTGCTGTCGCATTCCTTGTGTCAAGCCACTCTTGAACCACAGACAGCGTCAGAAGCGTCTTGCCTGGGCTACAGAGAAACAGGACTGGACTGCTGGTGAGTGGTCCAAAGTCATGTTCTCTGATGAAAGTAAATTTTGCATTTCCTTTGGAAATCAAGGTCCCAGAGTCTGGAGGAAAAGAAGAGAGGCACTTCATCCACGTTGCTTGAAGTCCAGTGTAAAGTTTCCACAGTCAGTGATGGTTTGGGGTGCCATGTCATCTGCTGGTGTTGGTCCATTGTGTTTTCTGAGGTCCAGGGTCAACGCAGCCACATACCAGGAAGTTTTAGAGCACTTCATGCTTCCTGCTGCTGACCAACTTTTTGGAGATGCAGATTTCATTTTCCAACAGGACTTGGCACCTGCACACAGTGCCAAAGCTACCAGTACCTGGTTGAAGGACCATGGTATCCCTGTTCTTAATTGGCCAGCAAACTCTCCTGACCTTAACCCCATAGAAAATCTATGGGGTATTGTGAAGAAGAAGATGCAATACACCAGACCCAACAATTCAGAAGAGCTAAAAGCCACTATTAGAGCAACCTGGGCTATCATAACACCTGAGCAGTGCCACAGACTGATCGACTCCATGCCACGCCGCATTGCTGCAGTAATACAGGCCAAAGGAGCCCCAACTAAATACTGAGTGCTGTACATGCTCATACTTTTCATGTTCATACTTTTCAGTTGGCCAACATTTCTATAAATCCTTTGTTTTTATTGGTCTTCAGTAATATTCTAATTTTCTGATATGCTGAATTTGAGATTTTCATTTGTTGTCATTTGTAATCATCAAAATTAAACGAAATAAACATTTGAAATATATGAGTTTGTATGTAATGTATGAATATAATATACAAGTTTCACTTTTTAAATGGAATTACTGAAATAAATCTACTTTTCATGATATTCTAATTTTATGACCAGCACCTGTATGATCAGTAGAACCAGTGTGCTGCAGCCTTCATAGACCTACAGCACAGAAACACAGGCAGACCATGAGTTACCTCAGCTGTATGCAGCCTGCAGCTCTGAYGCTACATTTAGCTGGTTAGCTTCTCTGCAGCTCTTTGCAGCTTTGAGCAGAACTGATTTTCATCATCCCAACACAAAAGGCTGTTCTCAGAAGTTTTCTGTCCAGTTTTTTGTTTTTTAAGACAGAACTATTGACACAGAAACTAAACATCCTGATCAGATCAGGCTAGTGGTTTGTTACACTGTTAGCTGCTGAATTAATCCAACTTTCAGCCTCACAGTTTGATCTTTCTCTCAAATCCAACCAAAAAAAACTGAAAATGTYTGGATAAGAACACAAGTTGATAAAGTTTTTAATCACAGAGTTTTTGACAGAAGGATCTGCAGAAATAAGACAAGTCAGTCTGAGAATCATAAGAACTAGAAGTAAAGGCAGGACATCTAATAAGATTATAAAAATATTTTGTTTTAATATTAGTAAATTCCTTATCATAATCAAATATCTACTGTAAACTGGACGTTTTTTTCCACTATCAGTAGAACTCACACAGGTCTGCATAGTTTGGTCTTTAAATGTAATGGTTAGTAATAAAAGCTAAATGTTTTATCACCTTTTAGTATGAATATACTCTTTCATTTTTTTATCTTTTAACATAAAATAACAATAAATGCCACTATTGTACTKTTTTCATTTTGTAACGTAACAAAAAATATTTTTGCCTAATTTGTTGGTAACTTTTCGTGGTTCATCCCTGCCAACAGAACTATTCTAGGATCTGAACACATTTTTAGTTTCAGCTCTGAATGAAGTCCTTCCTGCTGGAAGCAGCTGACAAGAACTGTCTGCAGCAGCTCTGTTAACTCAACAATCATCTACAGAAATCAAAGCAGCTCTGCTGAAACTCAGTGTCCCTATAGGAATAATTGATATTTATATTTAAACTGCAAGACCACACTGTACACATTTAAAAATACAACCAGAAATGTTGGGCATTTTGTCAAAAAATACAATAAAATTTAGAGCAAAGGTAATTCTAAACAAATCATTTGGTCAAATTATTTTTAAACCACATGTACACATAAATAAATCTCTTCAACTTCTGCACTTTGAAAAGTGTCTGACTTTTTGTCCATGTGTGTGGACAGGTGGAACAAACGCAGCAGAAAATCTTTTTTTTATTATTTTTTTCAGAAATATGTGGCGTAATGCGAACAGAAATTTGGAGACGTTATACTCAGCTCAAAAAGCCGAAGAATAAAGAGGGGAATTAAACACTAGAGAGGGTCGTGTTCAAAGGATAAATCTCTGAAGCCCTGCTCCCACATGCTACGTGTTATGTGCTGCGTGCTACATGTTATGTGCTGGGTGCTACATGTTATGTGCTGGGTGCTACGTGTTTTGTGCTGCGTGCTACATGTTATGTGCTGCGTGCTACGTGTTGTGTGCTGCGTGCTACGTGTTGTGTGCTGCGTGCTACGTGTTGTGTGCTGCCAGCTTACGTGTTAAGTGCTGCATGCTACAGTAGGTGCTGCATGATTTGTGCTGTGTGCAACGTGTTATGTGCTGTGTGCTACATGTTATGTGCTGTGTACTAGTGTTACGTGCTGCATGCTACGTGTTGTGTGCTGCGTGCTACGTGTTATGTGCTGCTGGCTATGTGTTATGTGCTGCTTATGTGCTGTGTGCTACATGTTATGTGCTGTGTGCTACGTGTAATGTGCTGCATGCTATGTGTTATGTGCTGTGTGCTAGGTGTTTTGTGCTGTGTGCTACGTTTTATGTGCTGTGTGCTACGTGTAATGTGCTGCATGCTATGTGTTATGCGCTGTGTGCTACGTGTTATGTGCTGTGTGCTACATGTTATGTGCTGTGTGCTACGTGTAATGTGCTGCATGCTATGTGTTATGCGCTGTGTGCTACGTGTTATGTGCTGTGTGCTATGTGTTTTGTGCTGTGTGCTATGTTTTATGTGCTGTGTGCTACGTGTTATGTGCTGTACTATGTGTTATGTGCTACGTGTTATGTGCAGCATGCTACATGTTGCATGCTTTGTGCTGCATGCTATGTGTTATGTGCTGCAAGCTATGTGCTACATGCTTTGTGCTGCATGCTACATGTTATGTGCTGCGTGCTATGTGCTGTGTGCTACGTGTTATGTTCTGCGTGCTATGTGTTATGTGCTGCGTGCTGTGTTATATGCTGTGTGCTACGTGTTATGTGCTGCCAGCTACGTGTTATGTGCTGCATGCTACGTGTTATGTGTTGCGTGCTACATGTTATGTGCTGCATGCTATGCGTCATGTGCTATGTGCTGCATGCTTTGTGCTACATGCTACGTGTTATGTGCTGCACGCTACATGTTATGTACTGTGTGCTACGTGTTATGTGCAGCGTGCTATGTGTTATATGCTACATGCTGCATGTTTTGTGCTGCATGCTACGTGTTATGTGCTGCGTGCTGCATGCTATGTGCTATGTGTTTTGTGCTGCGTGCTATGTGTTACGTGCTATGTGCTGCAAGCTTTGTGCTGCATGCTGTGTTATGTGCTGCGTACTACGTATTGCACGCTTTGTGCTGCATGCTACGTGTTATGTGCTTTGTGCTATGTGCTGTGTGCTACGTGTTATGTGTTGTGTGCTACATGTTATGTGCTTTGTGCTATGTGCTTTGTGCTGCGTGTTATGTGCTGCGTGTTATGTGCTTTGTGCTTTGTGTTGTGTGCTACGTTTTATGTGCTTTGTGCTTTGTGCTGCGTGTTATGTGCTTTGTGCTTTGTGTTGTGTGCTGCGTGTTATGTGCTTTGTGCTTTGTGTTGTGTGCTACGTGTTATGTGCTTTGTGCTTTGTGCTTTGTGCTGCGTGTTATTGTGATGGATTGAAACAGCACACAGTATGTTCACATTCTGTAACACAGTGACTGAATTGAGATTTTATTTATTTAAAAGGAATTTCATGTTAAATTGTTTTGTTTTGTATTTGGGAACAAGTAT